GAGGCCACCCCAGTTCGGGCAGGGGTCACAGGGGTCACAGGGGTCGTACAGAGCACACATTTCTCTGGGTTTGTTTTTTCTCTACCTACAAAGAAACAGAAGCAGAGGTCAAGCATATGAGCGCAGAGGCTCATTATGACCACGAGAGGGGCAGGGAGACTGGCGGCACCAGAGAAAGGCTTTGAAGATCCCGGGGCTGGCTGCAGGGAGGAGCCCGGAGCCCGGGCTCTAATTAACGCCCATAAAGGTCTTCTTATCGGCTCCCCCTGTGCGCTGGCAGGAGGGTGGCGGAGCGCTAGTCCAGCCCTGTTTGTTCCGGCCACAAAAGGGGCTGTGGTGGATGTGATCCTCAGAAACGTCACCGCATGCAGAGCAGACCACCAGGGTGATGTGGGCAGGACAGCCCCCGCCTCCCCGAGAGCAAATGAAGCCCCTTTGGGACCCTTTGGGAAGCCCGTGGCTCGAGGGGAGTGAGACCCAAGGCACCTTTGGTCAGCCGCGCTTGCTACTAAGGAGGACACAGCTGGGGCCACTCTGGACGGAGAAAAGCCACCTGCACACAGTCAGGGCAATCTGCCCCGGGGACATGGGGACATGGCCCATGCTTGCCAAAGGAGAAAGGGATCCAGCTGACCTCAGCAGTCCTCTCAGGAAAATGGGAATTAAACCCAAGGAGCAGGACGTTGTAGGCAGGCCAGTTCCACAAACCAGTGAACAGCAAGGCCACATGTGGTCCAGGGCCCCGGTGACCAGGGGTGCAACGTTCCCCACACTTCCTAGATGCTGGCTGAGCCGGGCACCCCTGGGGGGAGCCCAGGAGGGGCAGCAAGGAGAAGAACCCAGAACTGGAGAATGAGAGTGACAATAATGACATCGGAACTTTAAAGGGACTTGGGTGAAATGACTTAGGTTGTAAAGATGACAGAAAGGTGGGTTGGGGTTGTGGCTCAGCGGTAGAGCGCTCGCCTAGCACGTGCAAGGCCCTGGGGTCGAGCCTCAGCGTCACATGAAAATAAATAAATAAATAAAGGTATTGTGTCCAACCAAAAAATAAATATTAAAAAAAATTACAGAAACACACTAACAATGTGTGCCTCAGCTACCATCGGGGCCTAGATTATGTCCCCCAGAGTCTGGGGGTTGGAGTCCTATGAACTAGCCCCTGGACCTCGGGCAGCTGTGTGGGAGACAGGGTCTTCATGAAGAAAGGGAAGGAAAAGGAGGGTGGACCCCACCCCGAGACCCACCCCAATCCGATTGGTGTTTTTATGGGAATCTTTGGACCCACAGAGACTCCAAAGCGCACAGAGCAGGGGCCGTGGCAACAGGTGAGAAGCCAGGCTGGAAGCCCAGGAGAAATCCAAGGTGTGGACACCTGGGCCTGGACGTCCTGCCTCTAGGTCTGTGAGGAAAGGCAGTTCTGGTGTTCAAGCCCCTGGCAAACCCTGACAGAGCGCACCAGGGAGCCAGGGCCCAGGGCCCCCCATCTAGATGTCTGGGGTAGCGTACTGCAAGACGGCAGGGCCACCACCCAGGCCCCCGGGACACCAGCTCAGGCCTGGCTCTGTAACTCTGGGGGTGGGGGGGCAGGTGAGGCAGAGCTGGAGGCTCCTTGAGGTGCCCCTCCTCCAGGCAGCCTGCCCTGACTGCTGCCCCCTCCTGTGCTCCAGAGAGCCTCCAGCCCGGCCCATGGGGTGAAGGAACACAGCATGGTGTTTCCTCACACAAGCAGAAAGAGAGCTGGCTCTCCTGCTTCTGGGAGGAGGAAAGGAAATGAAGAGAGCAGGTCAGAGAGACACTGGCCAGCACCCCGCCCACGGCAGCTCGGTCCCCAGCCAAGATGTGGACGCAACCTGCGCCCAACGATGATAAACCGATAAAGAAAATGCAGTGAGCGCCCAGCCTTGAAGACGGAGGCCCTGTGTTTAAAGCCACACTGAAGAGCCTGGAGAAGGAGATACCGCCTGTTGTCACTAGTGTGCAGAAGCTAAAAACCGGGTCCCTTAGGAGACGAGCGTAGAATGGCAGTCACCAGAGGCAGGAGACAGGTGGACACCCAGTACCAAGGTGCAGGTGGTCAGGAGGAATGACTTCTAAGGTTCTCCGCAGCAATCGCATGAGTGCTTCCAGGGAGCTGGGAGAGGGCGTGGGATGTCTGCAACACAGGGAAGTGGGGCGGGGTTAAGGTGCTAAGGTGACATGGAGCCGCCCACATGACCATCTCACATTGTGTGTGAGTATTGAAATACACACTGCACCCCACAAACGCAGTCCAGTATTATCTGTGTCAATTAAAAATTCAAGTTAGAAACAAAAAGAATTTGGATGGCTTTGGAGAGGGAAAACAATATCAGGTTGCTAGAATGTTCTTGGTTACATTGAATAGCCTGGGGATAGGAGGAGAGACAATCCATTCCAGAGACCACAATAGCTGGGGAGGTGAACAAGGTCAACCCGGGGCTTTGCAGACAAAAGGAGGAAGAGGCAGGATAAGGGCTGGGACAGGGATCCCAGAGGGAGGAAGGGCTCCTTCCCATCTACCAGAACCCACGCTGGCACCCTGGGTCACCCCATGGGGGCAGGGACTCTGCCTTCAGACTGGGACATCTGCTGATGGCAGTCCCTGAGCATCTGCAGAGGTGACACCGTTTTACCTTTATCTTCACACAAAAAAACACTATTTGGTTTAAGGGTTTCTGAAAAACTAAGATAATTTTTTTTTTTAATGCTAGGAATTATTTGCTGTTCTTCTAGGATGCTAAAGCGATGGGAAAAAAAACTCTATCTAGGGTAGAATTATTTCTCAAACACGTTAACGTCCTCACAATGTGAGCCCAGTGCTATGCGTACAGCAAGAGGGGTGACATCTGCTCTGAGAGACCCAGGCAATGAGTTAATCAGTCCCAGGCACAAGGCAAACCACTGAACTAACAACAGGAGTCCAGGCTAGGGTCGGGCCATGTGTCGATTACACAGAGCAGTGAGCCTCAGAGCCAGCGGCAGGAGTGTGTGATTTATCGTGGCATCCTGAACTCCCCCCATTTCCTTTTCTGAAGTTTCTAACAAAGGGAACAAAATGTTCTATGCACAAGCAATATTGGTGCACATTCCTTCTCTTTGCCACTCTCTCTGACCCTCAGGGCTTGGCCTCCACTTGTCCCCAAGTCAGGTCCAGACAGCTGCAGCTCAGACTGCCCAGAATCAGCTAATCCCGGGTCCACAGGCTGCGTTGGGTCTGGGTGGACAGAACTTCCCCTTCCCGGTATTTTCATTGGGTTTTCTCATCTATTCCACCAACTCTGTAGGTTAGGACAGGCATGTTCTCTCTCTCCCCCTCTTTCTTTCTCCTTCTCTCTCTTCTCCCTCTCTCTCCTGCTCTCTCTCTCCCTCTTCCTCCCTCTCTCCCCTCCCTCCCTCTTCCTCCCTTTCTCCCCTCCCTCCCTCCCTCTCCCTCCCTCCCCCTTCCCTCCATCTCTCTCTCTCCCCCCTTCCCTCTCTCTCTCTTCCTCTCTCTCCTCCTTCTCTTTCTCCTCCCTCTCCCTCCCTCTCCCTCCCCCTCCCTCTCCCTCCCTCCCCTTCCCTCCCTCTCTCTCTCTCCCTCCCTCTCTCTGTCTCTCTCTCCCTCTCTCTCCTCCCTCTCCCTCCTGCTCTCTCCCTCTCTCTCTGTCCCTCCCTCTCTCCCCTCCCTCCCCCTTCCCTCCCCCTCTCTCTCTCCCTCTCTCTCCCCCTTCCCTCTTTGTCTCTCTCTCCCTCCCTCTCTCTCTCTTTCCCCCTTCCCTCTCTCTCCCCCTTCCCTCTCCCTCTCTCTCCCTCCCTCTCTCCTTCTCCCTCCCTCTCTCTCCCTCTCTCTCTCTCCCTCCCTCTCCCTCTCTCTCCCTCTCTCTCCCCCTTCCCTCTTTGTCTCTCTCTCCCTCTCTCTCTCTGCCTCTCTCTCCCTCCCTCTCTCTCTTTCCCCCTTCCCTCTCTCTCCCCCTTCCCTCTCCCTCCCTCTCTCTCCCTCTCTCTCTGCCTCTCTCTCCCTCCCTCTCTCTCTATCCCCCTTTCCTCTCTGTCTCTCTCTCCCTCCCTCCCTCTCCCTCCCTCTCCCTCCCTCTCCCTCTCTCTCCCCGCCCCCCCTTCCCCTCTAGCACAGAGGTCAACACCGCCCACACAAGTCCACCCACCAAGAAACCCTACTCTCACCTCCGAGGCCACAGGTGGCGCCATGGCCTGCAGTGAGCACCAACCCCTGACCAGCTCCAGATTCCCTGGGCCCAGAGCTTCCCTCCCGAGCAGGACAGCAAGCATTCTACAGAAGATGTCCACCTGGCCTGCCCCAGCGCCGGCTCTGGACCAACCTGACCCTCTCTGTGTGGAAGCTGGTGCAGCCCTGCTCCTGGGCAGGGTGGAAGGACATTCAAACAAGCAAAATGTCCCCCAAAGGCTTCCTATTGTGCCTGGACAGAGACTGCAGCTCACATTCAGGGTGACTCGGGGCATATGATTGTGTTTCTTTTTTCTTCCAGAAAAAAAAAAAAAATCTCAGGTGACTTATTGGTCACAAATGCCAATATCCTGGCAACTGCTAGGATTAGACCCAGCTGCACGGAGGGTCCCCGCAGACCCCCCCGGCACACCCGGGCCACTCTCCCTCAGTCGTCCCTGTTTCTGTCTCATCTGTCTCTGCCTCTTCCCCACGGTCTCTCTCCTCTCTGGCACATGTGCGCACACACACGCACACTCACGCACACACACACATGCACACACCCCTCTGAGTGTCGGACTCAGCCCCCCGTCTCTGGAACACTCCTCACTGTCCCCCTGGCCCTTCCTGCAGTGGTGCAGTGCCCTCCCTCACTGGCACCCATGATATAAGGTGCCAACATTTTCACAGCGCCTGACCCACCACTGACCCCAGCCCAGCCAGGCCGGGCTCTGGACAGGATGTGGAGAGCCTGCCCCTCGGTGGGCTGAGCACAAGCCCTGGGCAGGCGGGGAGGACTGCACTGCCAGGTGGCGGGGAGGTGGCAGGAGAAAGGACGGCTCAGGAGTCTGGTTTCAGACGCTGGCTGGGTGGCATTGCTGCTCCTCAAAGCAAGTACCAAGCTAGAGGACCTGTCCTGGAGGCCTGGACCAGGATGTGGCCTGGGGCCATTTGAGGTGAGAGACGTGGAAGAGAAGAAACCAGTCCGAGTTTCTTCTGGTTTCTTCTCTTCTTTTTCTTTGGTTTCTTCTGGTTTCTTCTTTTCAGCCAGACGGGGAGAGGGGTAGGTGGCTGGGACGCACGCAGGTGTAAGTTGGCAAGGGCCACACACTGTGTCCCACGGGCAGCAGCTCAAACAGCACACGTTCATCCTCTCACAGCTCTTGAGGCCAGAAGTCCAAGATGGAGACAGGGGCAGGACGGGTGTCTCCAGAGCTGGCTCCCTGCCCCTTCGCGGGCCGTCCTCTGCCGTCTCCCCTGGCTTCTCTGCACTCCAGCTGCAGACAGATGGGGACCCACCAGAGGACCTCGCTTCACCTTCATCCTGCATGCAGGACACACACGTGTGTGCGTGAGTGTGCAGAACTCGGGACACAGGCAAACGGAGCAACGGCTGTTTGAGGCCTGCAACTGCAGGGTTTTATTCCATCAGTAAAGATGTACATCTCCCAGGACTTAGGGCTTCCCGATAAATGTAATCGAGTTTTAAAGATAAAACTGGACTTATTAAAGGTACAGCTTTCCATAGGTGTGTTTTTTTGCCCCTGAATTACGTACAATCTCCTTATTTTTGTTATTATAGTGTTGAAGTGGATGGAGGTCTCCTGTTTTAATATTCTTTTTTTTCCACTGAGCCACATCCCCAGCCCTTTTTGTATTTTATTTAGAGACAGGGTCTCACTGAGTTGCTTAAGGGCCTCACTAAATTGCTGAGGCTGACTGATCTTGTGATTGTTAGGATGGCCTTAGGCCTGAGACTAAGCAACTCCATTTTAAAAACTCCAGTTTAACCTGCCGTTCACCAGGCACACCACAGAGCCCTCCAGTGTGGCCTCAGAAAAGTCACCTCCCCTCACCCTGATAAACAGAGGGAAGCCCCTGGCAGGCTGTCCTCGCCTGATAAGAGGGAAAAGTGAGAAGATCAGGGTGGAGACCACCAGACCAGACGTTTCTGACCCCAGGGTAAATGATGTCACTGAGAAATCCAGTGGTAGCTGATAAGGATTGAAAGAGGGGTCAAAAAAAAACCAAAATTTAGTATAAATGATAGAGCAAAGGAACAAGGATGCCCTCGAGCTGGAGAGCCTGCTGAGGACCTGACATCCCATCACTGTCATCATTCCCTGAGCCTCCGCCTGATCCTCACTGCTCTCACACTCCACAGCCTCATCTGGACCTTGGTGAGAGCCGCAACGCCTCCCTAAGACCCCCTCCTCTACTGGGCGTCCACTCCACACCAGGAAAAGCCTGCTTTGGTTCCAGACCTGATCCCCATGGTCTGAGTGAGTGTGCATCTGCTGGACATAAAGCCTAAGGCTTGAGACTTTTGAGCTTAGCACACAGAGGGAATGTCTGTCACGAGCCTGTCATGATCAAGTGCATTTGCAGTGCTTACAATTAATCTAGAGTTTTTTGTTGTGAATTAATTCATCTAGAATTGTTTGCTGTGAATTGATCATGGCTATTGCAGTGCCTAGCATTAAGGATTGTCGTTTTCTTGATTAAGAACCTGTAGAGTGAAATTGTATGGAGTAATTTGAGTGAATAAAGCATTGAAAGAGGCACAAGGGCGTGGACATTCTTTATTTCTCCCCTCGACTGCATACATCGAAATTTTGTCCCCTCGACACAGTGATCCCCTGCCTCGGCCTCCCAAGCTGCTGGGGTCACAGGTGGGCGCGGCCACTCCCAGCTCCTTTCTTTTTTAATTACCTTTATATTTTAGGGCAGTTCTAGGCTCACAGCAAATGGATCAGAAGGTACAGAACATTTCCACCAGCCCCTGCCCCACACCTGCCCAGCCTCCCCCACCTCGCACATCCCAAACCAGAACACCTGTTTTTTAACAGTTTTAATCCATTTGAACAACCATGAATATTCCCAAGCCTTCTGACAACGAAAAATCAGCATGTGCCTACCGGCCAGGCCTAGAACTGGTAGACTGCCCTGGCTGGTAGGCACATACTTTTTTTCCAGAAGTCCTCACGCCAAGAGCGAGGCCCACGACGGGGCAGGCAGCCTCCTCCCTCTGCCCGGCCACTCTGCCCCGGGCACCACGGCTCTTGACCTTAGCAGTTTCGGGCCTGGCTTTCCAGGGCTGACCAGTCTCCCTCTCACCCCACTTCAGAGAGGGGACACTGGTCAACTAAATCACGGTCTCTGTGGCTGCCCACGGGAGGCAGAGACACCACAGACATGAAAGACCCCACGTCCCATGGAGACAGGGCTCAGGGGGGCTATTGGGGCACACTGCAGAAGTGGCTCCAGCTAAGCACGGTGGCCAGCCCACTACAAGGAGCAAGTGTCTCCACCTCAGAGGAAATTTTTAAAATAAGGACATTTTTCAAGGAAATCTGGCCAGTCTTCCCACTGATGCTGGAAACAGGCCACTTCAGAAACAGGCAGAGGACTTGGAATGGCATCTCCCCAGAGAAACACAGATGGCCAAGGGCACATCCCATCTAGACACCCTCGACATCACCCATCATCAGGGAAACACAAGTCAAAACCATGACCTTGCCTTATGAAGAGGACTGTCACCAAACACCAACAGAAAATAGCAAGTGTTGTCCAGGACTTGGAGAAATCAGAAGCCTTGTGTTGCTGGTGGAAATGTGAAGTGGTATGGAGCTGTGGAAGACTGCAGGGCTGGCCACGAGGGTCAAACGTTCATTACCAAATACCTCAGCAACTGACCTTCAAAGGAGTCACAGGAAAGAATGGAGAGCAGGGGTTTATACACCAGGGTTCACTATTCGCAGGAGCTAAGGGGTGGGTCTGCCACCCACCACGGAGGAGCAGACACACAAGATATGCGCATCCATTTAATGAAATGTTACTGAGCCTTAAAAAGGAATGACCTCTGACCTGTGCCACCAGAGAACCTTGAGGACATATGTGAAATGAAATATGCTGGTCAAAAAGGACCAACACCAAATGTCTCTGCTTACAGGAGTCACCCGCATGACCAAATCGTAAGGACAGAAAGTAGGAGGGGGAGAGGAGGTGTGTGTGGTGGGCAGAGTGTGGGCTGTTCAGGGGGGATAGTGGTGGGCTCATGCCGGTGTGTGTCCAGCCTGCCCTGAACTGTACCTCAGGTGGGGGAGGTGGTACGTTTTATATTGTGCATATTTAAACCAGAATTTTTTTTAAAAAAGAAGCTGTTTTTTGCAGCATTGAGTCTTTGCATCAGAGCAGGCAAGGGACAGAGACGTCCTGTGTCAGAGCCACTAGGGAAGGTGGCCTCAGAGGGAGGTGGCTGGGGGGGTGGGCAGCCTGACTCTTTCCTGCCCCGCCCCCAGTGATCCTGCACAGGTGCACAGGGGCTCAGGGGCCAACCCCTCCACGGTCTGCCACAGCCAGGGCCTCCATGTAAGCCACTCCTATGGGGAGGAGTCCTCCCTGCCTCCACTGTCGGCCCATCCTCCTCCCACGTCGGGTCTCCTGGCTGGTACACTGTCCTGCTCCAAGTCTCTAGATCCACAGGAGATGGGATCTCTCTGATTTTCCACTCACTGCGTTTCACAGATCCCCTCTGCTACAGCCCAGCTGACAGCGTCGGCCTCCCCTTGCCTGCCCACGATGTCTCCCTCTTGTCCTCGGCCATCCTGCCCTCCCACTGCCACGTGTCCAAGACTCACCATCCTCAGAGGTCCAGTTTCAAGTCCTCTGACACTTTCCAGCTGCCAAGCACAAAATGCACCTTGTCCTTCTCCTGTGCCCGCAGCGCCGTGACCCACCTCCACCCTCGACTTCTTGTGAGTGACGGCTGAACAGGCAGACGCCTTCCCTTACCGTCCTTCCCACGTGCTCTTCCCTATTAGACCCCCAGGCTGCCCCCCCAGGTCTGTGACAGCTCCAGGCCTGTCCTCTGGCCAACCCAGCCTTGCTCCTCTAAGTTGGAGGGTAGTTATTGTTTCTCAACATATTAACATAAATTTACATTCCTTTGCCACTATCTGTGTGTTTGCGCACTTGTGGTAGGGGGATAAGCCCCCCCCAAATATATCCCAATCCCTGGAACCTAGGTTACTTCACATGGCCAAAGGGGACCTCGGAAGGTGTGATCAAGCTGAAAGTGGACAGGGAGGCTGGATTTCCCAGGTTAGCCCCACATCGCCACCTGAGCCCCTAACAGCCAGCAGAGGACCTGTCCTGGCTGTGGTTGTCGGAGGAGGAATAAGGGTCAGAGGGCCCCTGGCCAAGGGGTCACCTCAGGCAGACAGCAGGAAGAAGGAATGAGGCCCGGCTGACATTTGATCTGAGATAACCATGAGGGGTCACAGCCCTGCCTGCCCGAACGGTAAGATAGTAATCAGCATCATGACAGCAGCCACGGAACACAATGCCACTGCAGTGTGTGTGTGCCCACGTGTGTGTCTGTGTGTCTGTGTGTGTGTGTGTCTGTGTGTGTGCAAGCACCCCAGCTATGCCAGAGGCTCAGGGCAAGACCAGGCCCTGCTCACCTTTGAATTCCCCACAGACCTGGACAGAGGTCAGGAGCGGCCATTCCAACACCCCATGTGACTCACCCACACGGTGGGGAGATCTACACGATGCCGATTACACACTCATCAGGGCCAGGGTGCAATTCTAGGCCCAGAAAAGTGGGAAAGGGACACAGAGAGGAAACCTGCTGCCCTCGGGGTTGCCAAAATTCCTTGACTGGGAGGAGGCTTTCTGGGAGGAGCCACGTGGCCCAAATCAGGCCACAGGAATCGCCTCTCTGGCCTATAATTGCTTCATTTGGTAATGATGGCCTAAGACACAGCTGCTTCCAGGCAGCGCCCTGGGGTTGCTTCATCTTGTTTGAGGGCCTCCCCTCCCACAGGCCCACCCACGGCAGATAAGGACTGCCACAGCCAAGTACAGGGCTCGAGGACCCCAGGGAGGACCTGCCCGGGGCCGCCCTCGCAGAGTCTGGGCAGTGATTGGAGGGATAGGGAAGGCCCAGAGAGGCACTGGGGGCTGGGGTGCTGCAGAGGATGGCAAAGATGGGGAGAAGAGGGTGACCCCGGGAGGAGAGGCCCTGCTGAGGAACCCCCATCCCAGCCTGAGAGTTCACGGCTGAGTTCCAGAAACCAAAACAGACACCCCATCTGGTGACCTCACCCAAACCAGTCTGCCCAGGTGTGTGACGCCACCATGGCCCTAATGATCCCCTCAGCTGACCATCAACTTAGATCAGGAGAGACAAGCAGAGAGGGGCACTCCTGTGCTGACTGGGCCCAGGTGATAAGATGAAATGGGCAGGTCGCGTCCCCCCAAGAACAATCGTTTGGCCAAGCCTTGGGCAATCTTCGTTTTTAGGAATACCGATGCAGGGTTCACCCGGGGCAGACACAGGGCCAGAGGTGAGCGGTGCCTTTCCGGACTAGAGGGAGGAGGGTTCCTTGGGAGCCAAGTCTCCTAGGGATGTTTCACAATCGATCTTTCCAGCAGCAGGTGGGCATCGGCCGCTGGCCCATTTTACAGAAGAAAATGCTGAGTCTCAGAGGTGTTGAATGACCAGGGTCAGAGGTGCGGCAGTTCACCTTGAGTCAGAGCTTAAGTAATGTGCCAGACTTTATTTTGGTGGGAGGAGTCCCAGGGCTGCATGTCAACCTGATGTCCTGCCTCAGCCAGTCACCAGGCAACATGACTCCAGGTCTGGGGGACAACACTGTTGTGGCTGAGAACCGGGGGTCTGGCAGCCCACAGTGCATGTCCTCTCTGCCTGCTTCCCTCACTCATAAAACCGGGGAAAGGCCCGTGTCACCGAGTGTGGCAGAGCCCCTGAATGAGCGCCTCTGAAGCCCCAGCATGGCACCCTCCTGGTGGTACCGCTCAGTGATGTCCGCTCTCCCTCTCCCGGTCTCAGCGTTACCAAGGAAACCACACCTTGGCTATGGCATCTGGTGGTTTTAGAGCACTCACCAGGAGACGGTGGGCGGCCGCTGCACCCCTTGGTCCTCCCGGCAACCTTGCCTAGGATGCCCGATCGGTTGGGTGCTGCCCTCTCTCAGTTGAGGAAACTGAGGCAGCCAGGAGCAGTGTCCTGCCTGGATGGCAGGTGGCAAGGGGCACAGCTATGACAGCACAGTCTCCGACTCCAGCCCCCTCTGTAAAACCCCGTGTCCGGAGACGCCTGCCTGAAGCTCGCTAGAGGGCTGTTTCTCCAGAGCTTTCCGTGGCTTTCCCTCTGCCGAGTGCCGCCCTCTCTTCTCCCTCCCCTCCCTTATCTCGGAAGCACAAGCTGCTTGCAGAGGAAGAGAGCCACAAGCAAAGACTGGGATTTTTTTTCCGATCTTTTATCGATTTTATTTTTTTTAAATACACAACAGCAGTGGAAGGCATTACAATTCTTATCACACATAAAGAGCACAATTTTTCATATCTCTGAATATAAAGTATGTTCACACCAATTCATGTCTTCGTACATGTACTTTGGGTTTTTTTTTTGCATTACAATTCTTAATACACATCTATACCATAACTTTTCATTTCTCTGTTTGTATATAAAATAGGTTGACACCCAATTCAAGTCTTCATACATGTACTTTGGATAATGACGTCCATCACATTCCACCATCCTGGCTAATCCCCTGCCCCCTCCCTTGCCCTCCCACCCCTCTGCCCTATCTAGAGTTCATCTAATCCTCCCATGCTCCCCCTCCCTACCCCACTATGAGTCACCCCCCTTATATCAGACAAAACATCAGCATGTGTTTTTTGGGGATTGGCTAACTTCACTTAGCATCATCTTCTCCAATGCCATGATTTTGTTCTTTTTTAATGGCAAAGACCGAGATTTCTATCTAGCTTAGACCATGGGCCATGGCCTGCAGGTCCTGGGCCTGTCTCTGCACCACAGGGAGGGTGACGAGGAGTGCTGGCCCCCGCCAGCTGCTGCAGCATCTCCTAACACTTCGGACAGGGGCCCTGGACGAAGGGTCTCCCAGCTGCCTCTTCCAGTCCCAGGTGCTGCCGGCAGTCCCTAGTGTGGCCTGGTGGGCAGCCACAGGCCTGTGTCCTCTGCCCAGCCCCAACATGGCTTCTTCCCTATGTGAGTGACTCTTGCCTGTCCTGAGGACAAAGGTCATTGGATTCAGGGACCACTTCATATGACCTCACGCTGACTTAACCCATTTCCCAGTAAGGCTGCACTCTGAGGCAGGGGTGGACATAAATTTGGGGTGCAGGGGGTGTTACTCATTTAGTTCACTAAGCAGCATCTTAGACCCCCCCTCCTCTAAACATCTCTCCTTCAAACGCACTGATGGAAAAGACCACCCAGGGGACATCGAAGTGGCCTCGGCACCCCACAGAGAGGCACAGGGGAGTGGGGCCTGGGTCCCCACAAACCCTTCCACATTTTCCTTCAGTGCAAATGGCCAGCACCCTCTAGCTGCAGGGCCAGCACCCAAGACCTTCATTCACAGGGTGCCCGCCTCTGCCCAGAGCCTGGTGCAGAGGCCATGGTGCACACCTAGGAGTTTCCCTTCAGGTGTGACAGGCACCCTGAGGTCGCCAAGGGATGGGGGTTGGGGGTAGGTGGGACAGGGCAGATGCAGAGATACCCAGTTTGTCGTGGTCTGGGACCAGGGTGAACCCCTTGTTGGAGGGGGTGGGGGTTAAGCTGAGGAGGACTCCTGCTGAGGTGCCCCAGCCTCAACCCTCATCAGGACCCTTGAACAGGATGTCGGGCCATCAGTCCCGCCTGAGAGTCACGAGATCCTCCAGAGCATCTGGGAGCCTGGCAGCTCGGGTCGCTGCTGGCTGGGCTTCCTGGAACCCTGGGCAGGTCCTTGTGTCCTCAGCCTGGGAATGAGAGAGATGAGCAGAGACAGCGGGACTCTCCAGGCCCCGGGGGGACAACCTTCAGAAGCCACCGACACCAGCCGACCCTGCCTCATGGTGACTTCTCAGAAGCACCAGATGATGGAGGAGACACTCAGCGCGGTCAGACAGGAAGGGGCTGAGGTCAGATAATGGCTCCCCAGGCACAAGTTCATGAAGCCAAGGCCAGCAGACCAAGGGGGCAGATTTCTTGGAAGAAGCGCGGTTCCACGAGGTGGGAGAGGTCTAGACAGATGGACAGCGTTTCCTAAGTGTGGAAGACACCTCCACTCTCCCACCTGGTGCCCCGGCTCCTCCTCCCTCCCCGAGGCACAACGACACCATGGCACCCTCCCCCTGCCACGGGCACCCCCACACCCACTCATCCCCCCATTTCAGGGAACTGTGCAGCCCTTCAGCAAAGTCACACCTGGGGAAGAAAAGAATCCACAGTCCCCACCGCAGTGCGCTGTCCCCGGGGACCTCTCACCTCCTCTGTACTGGAAGTGTTCTGTTTTTAACCTATACTAAATTTAGGAGCTGGCCAGCCAACAGAATAACAGGAAAACTCGCCCCGGAGCCCGGGAACAGCTGCCCCCCCATCCTGCTCGGCTTCCTCCTGCGTCAGCCAGAGCCCTCAGCCTGACCTGGCCCTGCAGCTCCTGCCCCTCCCAGCAGCCCACGCCAGCCCCCCCACCCCAGCGCCGCTCGCCCAGGGGTTGGGGCTCACAGGGAGACCGCAAGCAGAAGAGGATTCGAAATCCAAATCCAGCCCCTGAACCCCTCCTACATGCTCTTCTTCACTGCAGTCTGGACGGTTAAAATGATCTGTCTTACCATCTGGGTGCTCACAGGTTTGGGGACAGAAGTGAAATCAATCTGCATTACACCAGAATGTTGGTTTTAACTCATGGGTCAAATGGGCCTTAATAACTTTTTTTACATTTAGATTTCTATGGTGATAGACTCACCATATTGATACGCATCCTGGAGATCTGCTCCTTTGTAAGTAGCCTATTGCTGGTTTGGGAAAACGAATCAGTAGACTCTATTTTTCTCTTGCACTTTTCAGAAGTGTTTTGTCTCATTATTCCTGTTCTAACTGAAGAATAGTATGGCATTTGGAGAGTAAGAACACGTAAACACACACGTGCACACACACACACACACACACAAAGAACTATCTGTTCTAGGATCATGATTCTTAGGTTTTATTCCATGGGTTGTATATTTTCAGGAAAAACGTGTCCTACTTTTGTTTCACTTCAGAGACAATATAAAATCATTCTACTTTCATAAATTCACAGTCGGTAGCTTGTAGAATAAGACTCGGTGTTCTAGAAATGGGAAAGAACCCGTGATCCCTGTCCCCCTTTAAGGTTGATGTAAGACTTACCAAATTGGAAGGGGAAACCATCCTTAGGATCTAATCTACGATCTGTGCTTCTCCAGGGCTGTCACCTGGCCTGCAGCATCAGCGTCACCTGAGGATGTGTCGGAAATGCACGCTCTGGGGCTTTACCCAGGACTTCCGAGTCAGGAACTCTGAAGTCACAGGGAACAAGCCCCCGGGGGGATGGCCACAGCCACACTCAGTCTGCTCTTCACCTGTCACCTGTTTCTTTTTGGAATGGGTCCTTTTGACCAGTCAGATAACATGCCTCCTGCTGCCGCTGTTTGACATGGTAGCTGTCATTCACAAGGCTGTGTCATTCACCCAGGACTTACTAGGTGCAAGGCACTCTGCAGAGCCATTGAATCCTCCCAGTCACCTCTGGATTTGTTTGTAACAAACAAAAGCTTACTATGACATAACTGAAGCCCAGAGAGGTGAAGCAACTGTCCCACAGTCACACAGCTGATGGGGACAGAGTTGGAGATGGAGCTCACACTGTCTGGGCCCCATGCCCACCAGTGCCAACTCTGCAGAGACGCTCTTTGGAAGAGGACTGTCACCTGAATGGCAAGGGACTTCGGGGCAATCAAGGCCAATCTCTTCATCCCTGGGGGTGGGGAGCAGAACCAGGACCATCTCCAAGGCGCATGGCAGGCTGCTTTACACTGTGAAAACTCCCACGTCCTGGGGACAAGGGAGGGACAGGGCTCAGGTCAAGAACCAGAGGCCCCACCAAGGGAGAGTGGAGCTCCAGGCTGCTGCTAGTGGAGAGGCCCGGTGCCTTCCTGGAGGCCTAGCTGCAGCAGGCAGGACCTGGGCTACGATCCGCCTGCCCCGAGGAGGGTGGCACCATGTCCCCTGCACCCCAGGAGCCAGGGGGATTCCCTCAGGCCTCGAGTCCGGCTCTCCCAGGAAAGCCCATCTTCCCAGGGCTGGGCTGGGGCTCAGCGGTAGAGTGCTTGCCTGGCCTGCGTGAGGCTCTGGGTTCGATTCTCAGCACCGCATACAAATAAATGGATAAAGTAAAGGTCCGTCAGCATCTAAGAGGGGAAAAAAGAAGAACGCCTTCCCTCTTCTGCTCTTCTCCTTGCCCTGCTGACTGAGGACGGCCGCCGGCCCACCTGCTCCGGTCTCTGCACCTCTGCTGCTTCTTTCTTGCGGGGACACTCAAGCTCACGGGTCACCTCCAGCTCTGCACCAGGCCACGTTGGAGCTCTGGCCCCTCCTGTGGCCCCGCCTACTTTCCTGGGTGAGATGTACCTCTGCATGAATGGCCGCCACCTTGGCCTCCCAAATGATGATTTGCCTCTGTGGGACCACAGCACAGCTGTCATCAGGGAGGGTCGCCTCGGGCCCCAGGATGGGTCATGGCCAAAACAAGCCACACCGTGCACTCTCCCTACACTAGCTACAAGGCCACCAGCCGCCAGCCCTGGCCCCAGGAGCTGGCCAGCTCTCTGACATACCTACAGGACCGTCACGCAACCCTGAATTCAGGGACACTGCGCTCATGACCTCAGTGACCCCATCCTGGGCAAGCCACCGGCCTGGGTTGGAACAATGGCATCATAACAAGGGGTCTGTGAACCCAAACGGCCGACAGATGTCTTCCAAACACGGAGTGAGCTCCGTTAACCGTTTTCCAGTGCCACGTGGGTGCAGCTAGGGTCGGCAGGACCCAAAGCCTGGGCTTCATGACGCCTTGTTCATTTATCTATCTGTTTGGGTACTGGGGGTTGAACCTGGGAACACTCTACCACTAAGAGACATCCCCAGCCCTTTTGATATTTTTCTTTGAGACGGGGTCTCACTAAGTTACTGAGGCTGGTCTTGAACTTGAGATCCTCCTTCCTCACCTCCCAAGTCCCTGGGATTGCAGGTGAATATGGCAATGTCCTCTACAATGTCCTTTTGACTCTAGTTATTTTCTCAAACAACAAACACCAAAGTCCCCCGTGGATCTTCAAGACGTGTTGACGTTACAGAGGACCCTCGTTTCCCACAGCACCTGGAGCCCCTGGAGCTGGGTGGTGAAGGTGCGAGGACCCAGGTCACCATCACACGGCTGATGGGGACAGAGTTAGAGCTGGAGTCACACTGTCTGGGCTCACACTGGAGCTCACACTGTTGGGGCTCCGTTGCAGGCAGCAGGGGCTAGAAAAGCGGGTGGTAAACAGCAAAGTCTTGTGTCCCCCAAAAGGAAGGAGCCTGGGGAAGGGCGTGGAGGTAGGAACAGATCCGACTTGACTCATCCTGCCTCCCCACCTGACCCTGGAGTTCAGGGGTGCTTGCTGGGGGCTGCGGGCTCTCGGGAGCCAAGCCTCTCTGAACACAGCCACACCTCTGTCTCCATCCCCAGGGGCCTGGCCTGCTCCCCACTAGAAGGGACCAGGAGGCAGGCCCTGAAAGCACAGCCCCGGGGTGTCCTGGCCCTGGGCTCAGAGCACTGGCTACGTTCTGTCCCTCCGTGTCCAGCCCAGGCCCCACCGAGAAAACAGATGAGCTCTGTGGAGCTTCCACTGTGTTTTGGGGTGGGAGGTGAGACTTGGAAAGGAAGCTGAATCACCGAAGATGCCAACAGCTTTCTATCTGCACACTGACCGCGTGCTGAGAGGCTCAAGTCACTCTTGTTGCCAGGAAACGTTTTAATTGCATGTGTGAAATCCCACTGTACCCATTGCTGCCTTCCCAAAGGAGAAAAGGTTGCCGAGAGGCCATCCCCCAGGCCCCAAGAAGAATATCCTCTACCATATTCAGACCCAGAGCCAGCCGTCCAGGGTCCTGAGAAGCTCTGCTCAGAGGGGACCCACTCCGAATAGGCTCTTGTTTGCCTTTGTCCTACCTTGGGGAGCTGGACCCTGGCCTCTGTGCAGCTAGGACCCTGCGGCCAGGGACCTCGTCCTGAACTCCAGGGTAGGTGGACCTGCAGCCAATGGCCTCCTTGCTCGGCTCTCGCCCTTGTCGCCAGACCCTTGTCCTATTGGGCTCCCTGCTCCCCATCCTTCCCAGGACGGTTCTAGGGGCTGCAGAGGATGACGTGTGCAGCCCCCGCCCACTGCCCGTCCCCCGCCGGCCCCCCACACACACCCCCCACAGCCCTCTTGCCTGGTGTCCTGGACGCCCAAGGCCTCTTCATCTCTCGGCTGCAGTAGCTGGGGTTTCAGACCCTTCCCACTCTGGGCCTCACACACTCTGCTTTGTTCCCACCAGTCAGTCACTCCATGTCCTGGGGTGACACTGGGGGGTGCTGAAGGGGACAGAGGCACGGTGACCCCATGCAGCACATGGTCTGGTCTGCCGGGGAGAAGACAGCAGCCCACTCGTGGCCCTTCCGAGCTCCGGAGGAAACGCCTGCCGTCCCCGGGAGGGTGGGTGCTGGGTGCTGGGCGAGGGGGGCCCCGTGTGCAGTCGTGGGGGACAGCGACAGGTCCTCTGTGGAAGGAGAAGCGGAATGTTCTGATCAGAATGCCACATGTTCCCTCTCTGCTTTGGAAGCCACAGGAGGGTGTGTGGGAAGGAGTGGAGCTCACACAGCTGGAGGCCCCAGGTGAGGACGGCCTGGGCCTGGGGCCGCCGAGGAGGCCCAACCAAGCACTCGAGAGCACTGGGCAGTGTGGGAGAGGAAGGGGAGCTCTGGACGGAGCTCTCCAGAGAAGCAGAGTGGACAGAGTCCCCCCAGGAATCGCTCATGTGATTGTGGCGGCTGAGAGGGCCACATCTGTCATGGGCACACTGAGCTGGGACAGCCGGTGGGTCAGCTCAGGGTGGAGGCCCCAGGACAGAGGTGGGAACCCTCTCCAGCTGTCGGGCACCCCCGAGTCTGGTTTGCCAGCTCCATTTCAGACAGACAACCCAATTTTCTTTAGAAAAAGACGCGCAGCGTGGCCAATCGACCCAGGCTCCCGGCCATGCCCCGCAGAGCTGATTCCTCCTCCTGAGCGGCGTCCTCTGCCACGTTCCCATTGGCGGTCACCTGGGCTGAAGGCCGTGGGGCACCTGGGCGTCTGGGATTCCCGTTCTGCCAGGGCCTGGAGTTAGGCTGTGAGGCAGCCCCTCGCAGCTCACAGCTCACACACACGTGCTCACGGGGATGTGCTCACACGTGAGCCTACACAGTCACACACACCTGTGCACACACAAACCCGCACACACCCTCACTCGTCCACCTACTCACCCGCGTCTCATGCCCATGCACACGACCCACGCCCTCCCCTGCCATCCTCCCCAGCCACTCTTCAACTCTGAAGTCTTCCCTTCAGAGTGACAGGCCCCCTGGTGCTCAGGGAGGGAGGGGGGGGGTGCAGGCCAACTTCAGGAGACCCTGGAGGACAGTCAGGGCAGCTGCTCGTCACCTGCCTGGGGGTCCACAGCTGGTGGATGGGGGGGGCAGGGTGGACAAGAGGAGGCCATGTCCACAGACGGGGGCTGGGGCCCCGCACACATGGCAGCCATCCGGACGGGTCGTCAACAGCACCCTGAGCACCCCGTGGACCCTGCTTGGAGAGCAGAGGTGTCTGGTCCACTAGATCACAGACATGTTTTCCAAGAAAACAGAAACTTCCAGCAGAGTCAGAAATACCCACGGACCTCCGCTTCTTGGACCCCAGTGGACAAGACGTGCCAGCCTGGGAATAACCGCAGAGCAGCCAGCGATCCGCACGCGGAGGAGAAGCAGGGCTCTGCCCACTCTGTGGTTTTTGCTTTCTGGAAAGTTCACATCCTCAAGCTCAAGTCCCTCCTTCATATTAGTAAGTGAAGTTTTCTTAGAAACACGGAGGGTTTCTGGGCTGGTGAAGTCCCGTGGACATTACTAAGTATATTCTTCCCTCCAGGGTAAAATTTTCCATCTCCTCCAAGTGGGGATTGACTCACCAGGACCGTTCCTCAGCTCACGCAGCACTCTGAGGCCCCCACTCGCTGTCCAGCTGCAGCGTCCATGGGCAGATTCAGGCAGAATCTGGCCACTTCATTTCCTCCAGCATCCGGAACCAGCTACTTCCTGCCGTGGGCCTCTGTCTCTCTGGGTTTACGAGGTTCCTCTTGGAGAGCTAACTTGTTGCCTAAACTCATGGGTACTCTCTAACCTGGGTTCTCTAGAGCTTGTTCAGTGGGAAAAAAAATCCTGTTAAGTAAGAGGTATTTTGGCTGGTGGTGCATTCAGACCTGAGATAACCAGGGTTCCTTGGGACCTAGATCTCCTTGCATAAAGCAGCAGAGCAGCTGATCAGATAAGAGACAAGCAAGTTCAAATGCCGGGTCCCCTGGTGGTACAGGGCTCCAATCATTCACCTCCACCGTGGTTTGGAGCAACATCCAACACTCTAACACCTGTGGCCGACACGGCTCTACCAAACGCTTCCCCATTTCCAGTGAGGACTTCTTTTTCCTGTGAACATATCTAGAAAGACTTGGACTGGTCATAATGGACAATGGCCAGGGCAGCCCCTCTCCCAGGAGCTATGGAGAGAAACCAGCATTCTGTGGGCTGAGGGTTCCTGGGGAGGGAAGCAGGGGAAGAGTGTGCATTAGCGTGGTTATGAACACGGGAAGACCCTGTAACCCTGGGTGACACCAAAACAGAGATGCCACGAGCTAAAGGGACCAGCTTGGCTGCCCTGGAACGGGCCCTGCCCCAACCCAACTCTGGAGTAGCTCTGAGTTCTCCAGGCTGCAGGCCTCAGATGCGCCCCCCTACTCCTCCTGCCCCCCACCCAACCCCAGGCAAAGCCCATCTGTGGGCATTTCATCCAACATGAAGTGAAGTGTACTGAGCTTAAAAATACGGCCCTTCACAGAGGGGAATGGGTAAAAAGAAATGTGGCCAGGGACACGGCCAGAGACACGGCCAGAGGCCTAGTGCAGAGGCTGGCGACCCTTCCCACAAGGGCCAAGCGGAGGTATGTTTGGCCTGCAGACTGCTTGGTCTTCCCTGCAGCACTCAGGTCTGCTGTTGTAGTACCCAAAACCAGCCACAGGGGACGTGACAAAACAGGCACGCACGTGTGTGTGTGTGTGTGTGTGTGCGCGCGTTCCAGTGAAGCTGTGCATGATGCTGAAATTTAATTCTCACCCAGTTTTCATGTCACAAAATATCGCTCTTCTTTTGATTTTTCCCCCCAACCATTTTGTTTAAACACATAAAAACCATTATTAGCTTGTGGGCTGCACACATCAAGGGGCGACTGGATTTGGCCAGTGGGCTGGAGTTGGGGGCCTGGTCTAGTGCAGCTCTATCATAGCAACACCTTTTCCACTCGTGCCTGCTGAAATGCATGCCCTGTGCGACGTGCCTGCACTGAAACATAGTCCAAAAACAACAAGGTGAAATGGAAAAGTCTACAGTGACATTCTAGAACATTCTTGCTGAACTCCTCCATGGATTGTCAGTTAAGTCCTGGGAAAGCATGCTCCCACTTTTAATGAGTCCACTGTTTCAGAGATAAAGGAACTTGGGTGCCGCAGTCTGGCTGGCCACGAAAAACCCAGCCGCCACAAAGCCTTGTAGGTTCAAACAGCAACTACTTTATTTCAACCCTCACCGGCACTGCACGCGCGCTTTTTCACCAACGCCACCCACGCGGCCCTTCCAGAAACCCCCCACACCGGAAATCCCTCCTCCAAAATCCCTCCTCCGGCACTTCCCCAACCAATGGGAACTCTCCAGAATCCCTGCGAGAACTCCAAGTAGTAGGAGAACTCCAAAGTAGCAGGCCCAGGCGGACAGCAGGGGTCTAATATACAAATGAATCCACAGCTTAACGTAACCATCATCATCTCAATGGCTTGCTGGCGTCACCTCTCAACCACTCCGTTCTGGCAAAAATGCCATGCGTCATTCCGACTGGGCTATGGCTCTCAGCACTTGGGGGCACCCAACATCTCAGATGAGATATTTCGGTAAGAGGAAGACAGGCCGGCCCATGTTTTCGAAGCCTAGACAAGAGAAGTGAAACAGAGGTCAGTGGGTCAAGACCTGACCAGAGCTGGCCAGAGCACTCAGCTGGACATCTGCAGTGAGACCTGTGCTACAGGGACAGTGGGGCGAGCACTCGGCCTGTGGAGAAGGGGGTGTGCAGTGCCCTCCACACACCCCCGCTCTGTTAGGTCAAGCCAGGTTCAAGAACCGTCCCAATTTCTTCAAAGTCTGACAGTAAATACAGGGGGTCCTCCTGGCCTTGGGATGGGCCATTACCTTGGAGGCTGTGTGGGACATGCCCTTGCTTGTCTTCTGTAGTCCCTGGACCCTCGCCAATGTCCCCATCAGTCAGGACCCCCAGCTACCCCCGATTCAAGTCTGTCCCTCAGGCAAGGTCTGAACCCAGGAATGGGCCAAGCCCACCCTCTCCCATCACCCGCTGCCCCCGCACACTCCTAAAGAGGAACAGTCAAAGCCAGGCCCAGGGAGCAAGGCGAATGAGGAATGAAGCCCCCCAAGTCATCGTTACCACCCTCACAGGTCTCTGGTACAACTCACAAAACATGGAATGTTCTGGAAAACAGAAGAGCACATGGAGAATTTCCACGGAGGACTGCCGCCATAGACACTGCTCCCACAGGCACGGCTGCCCCAGGCCTGAACTCCCCAGGACCGTGCCCCCTGCAGACATTCTACCTTTACCTCTTCCCTGGAGAGCGCACCATGCCCAGCCATGCGTCCCGACACAAGGGAAGACGGCAGCTAGGGTCACCGTCCCTCCACAGGTGACTTGAAGCTATGTTTCCTCAAACTGTGGCACGCACGTGTCAATCCCGCGGTCACAAAAACCCCGGGAAGCCTCTCCTCCCGGCTCAGGGGTTAGGACCCCTGAGAAACCCAAGGCAGGAGCCATGGCTGCTGGCCACTGTGAGGACTCCAAAGACACCAAGTTGGCCTCAGAGGACCATCTTGGTCAACCATCTATTTATTCTAGAAGATTAAAATCAGGGAACAAAAGAAAGTAGAGATGAAAGGCCCCGGTCATCCATCCCAGCCCTGTGACACCGTCCTTCCCACCCTCAGTGTCACCAGCATCAACGGTTATCACAGCCCACAGGGGACAGAATGTCACTGGCGGATCCTTCACCTCGGGCCTCCTGGACCTCCACACACCAGCTCAGGACAGAACCAAAGCCCAACTCCCAGATGATCTCCTCCTGTTGTTCCTCTCCAGGTGGCTTTCAGATCACTAATTGCCCCAAATGAGCAAATTATGACAATTAGGGACAGTTATGCAAAACTTCTGAGCTGCAACCCTTCACAGGTGAATCGCCAGGCCTTTCCCACACCAGCCACCCAAGAGAAGGCCGGGCTCTCCCACCCGCCAGATGGGGAATAGAGGCCCAGAGGGGCACTTCTCTTACTTTGTCCTGAGACAAACTTGCTTTAATTTGTGTGAACTAAATTGTGCTCAGCCTGTTGTCAGGAATTAAACAGATTGTTCAGCCCTTCCTGGGAACCGTGGGTAGTTATTATAATTTATGTTTTCAAAGACATGGATGAATGCTCATTGTGGGATTTTAAGTGGAGATAAGAGGGGCGTGTGCTGTGTCTGCAGGGTGGTGTGAATCCAGTGTGCCTATGCTGAGTGCCCCTGCGTGTGTGACGCCCTCAGCTAACAAGGTGCAACATAAGCTTTTCCTTGTCCTTCTCTGCCATGTCTAGATTTTCTACAATAAACATCTAATCTCTCACAACAAAAAAGATAGATGTTATTTGTTAATGACTTTAACTTTAAAAAAATGATTACCATCTTTTTTCAAGACTTTCCTAGTGCCTGTTGTGGGTCAGGCTCCTCTGTCCTCCCCTGTTCACACGTGCAGGTGGGACATTTCTTTCCCCCTGCTCTCCTGGTCACCAGTTCTCCAGCCACCTTCCCTCGTGGTGGTGGAATGGTCAGCTTGGCCCCAGGGTGGGACTCTAGCTTAAGGGCCACCTGGCTGGTATCCGAGAGATGGCCACCAGGTCTAGAGATGAGGCACGGGGCCCAGTCCCAGGTCTCAGAGCAGACACCACCCAGAAGGGGCTCCAGAGCCCCTGGGCCCCCACTCAGAATCCATGGGGTGACCTTTGGTGGCCACTGCTTTCCTGGAAAATGACGCACGTGCCGAGTACCTCCCTCTCAGCTGTCCAGTGGTCAAGGAGGGGGAGGGGGCAGCCCCAACATCAAAGACAAGCAACTGCCCAGCGGCATCCCGCCCTGCCCGCCCAGACCCCACTTCCTGCTGTGGGCAGCTGCTCTCCTCTTGCCTCCAGCGGAAGCGGGGAATTCACAGCACCTTGCAGAGACCACCCCCACCCTGAATATCCACACCCTGAGCGGAAACCAGACCTCGAGGGCCAACCGAACCCCTGGATGGGCAGTACGGAACCAACAAAATCCACCCTCCACACCCCAGAGGGAAAGAGCACCCCTGTTAGTTGCCTCCAGATCTTCCCCAGGTGCTCAGGCCACTGGGCCACTGCCAGCACACCAGGACAAGAACAGGGACCACCCTGCCTTGCTCCTCTGAGCGCAGGCCGATGCTCAGCAGCAGTGGGGGGAATCTGGCCGGCCGAGGTGGTCAGGGGACAATGGCGTGCACTGGGCAACAGCAGCAGCTTTGACTTGTTCCTGACTTTGGATCCTGCAGGGAAATCCAGGCGAGTTGGACGAGGCCCTGTGGGTATAGGAGTCCCAGTGGCCCACCTGCTCCTGGTCCCCGTCCCTGCAGAGCCATGATCCGTTGTGCAAGGAACCTCACAGGAAAGTCTTGTCTTTATCAGCTGTGCATTAACAGCAAAAAGGACAGTTCTCCCAGGACCAGCGAGCTGCTGGGGACCCAGGAAGGCCGGGCGGGCGGGGAGGGGCTGGTGGAAGGGAAGGAAGATGGCAGCAGGCCCTGGGTCCCCCAGAGCGGCTCTGCCACCCCTCAGCAGCCCTGGCATCGCAATAAACAGGCCTGGGTGCAAACCGGAGAGCTGGGCCAGGTGCCCCTGGGGTGGGGGGTGGGGGATGACCTGGCCTCAGCTGCAAGCGGGGAGAGAGGAGGCTGGGGACAGCAGGCCTGGGCCACCTGCTGAGCTGGCATGAAGGAAGTCAGACTGGGGACCCGAGGGGCCTACCTCTCAGCTGCCCCCGGTCACCTCAGGACCCCTTCTACTCTCCTGGGAGCATTCACCAGCTGCCTGTTGTGGAGCTCCAGCTACAGAGAGCGCCGTCTCTGCCCAGGAAGCTGAGCCCGGCTGGGCAAGGGAAGACCCTGCAGAAGGAGGTCCAGGCCGTCCGGCCACCCAGCAAGGCACATGGCCTGCTCTGGGGAGCCCCGGCACTTCCCCCAGCTCCCACACCTGCTCCTCTTCCCGAGGGCCGGTCCTTCCTCCCATCACCCTCCTCTCTTCCAACCACCGCCCGCCACCCCCGCCTCCCCAGGATCCACCCGAGCCCCACGGCCCCTCCGCAGATGGTGTGTCATGTGCTGGGTTCCCTCCAGCAGGCCCATGGAACCAGCAACCTGGGACACACGGCCCCACCATCAGGAACCCACAGGGGACCCCCTGAGTGGCCCATCCACCTCCCGCCTGCCTCTGCTACAAAAAAGACTGAATGGACCCAAGGGGGCAAAGCCAGGTCCAGCCACCCAGCTGGACAGGCACGTCCACTTACTAAGGAACCATGTCAATAATAGCATCTATTGTTATTAGGGCCGTGATAGGTGGCCTTAAATCCCAAGTGGGGGACAGGGACAAAGCACTGGTCTGGGAATCGGGAGATTGGATTCCTGCCCGCGCCCCAGCTCTCACGGAAACACAGCCCCCGTCCAGTCTGCACAGCTTGTGGGGCGATGAGCTCCCTCGGAAACCCATTCCAACTCCACTCAAGGATATGGGGCGGCGGCCTGCCAGGTGCTCTCACGAGCCACCTCGGTACAGCCTTCTCTCCCTCACCAGCGAGGGAGGGCTGGGTGAGTGTGGGTGGCACTGAGGCTGGGTACCCCTGCTGGTGAGCAGGGTTGCCAAGGCCCCGCCCAGCCAGGGGCTCCCTCGCCCGTTCTACATGCCGGCCTGTGTGCGTATAAAGGCTGAACCCTAGTGCTAGTTGCAAGGCGATGGAGAGAAGCCTCGTCAGTGAGCTGGGCCAACGTCCTCCCTAGAGAGAGGCAAGCCCACTGCCCTCAGCCTTCACCCCCAGCCCCTCTCCCTGCCCCTCCAGCCCCTGGTGTTAGGAGAGGACCTAATTCCTCAAAGGCCAAGACCTTCAGCTGAGCTCCAGATTTAGTCCGGGGGAGAACTGCCCCAAATGGTGTGGGAGTCGGGGGAAGAAAAACGTTTTTGTGCCCCCCAAGAACAGCTTTGAAGACGGTGAAGCCCTGAGCCAGCGGGTGAGCAAGACCGAGGCGCCAGCCACAGTGTGACAGGTGATGCTACCCCCCAGCCACCAGCCAGCTGAAAGGCAGGACGTCGTGGGCAACGCTCCTGCACCTGCGGGGCCCACTGCACGCTTGCCCACGCCCCTGGGCTGCGGTGCGGGGAGCAGGATGGCATCCCAGAGGCAAGAGTCACACGTGGCTCCTGGCCACCTGAGGGCTAATCAAGGCCTCCTGCGCTGCTGCCCGCCTCTGAGCAGGGACCGGATGCCAACCCTGAGTGCAGGGGACACAGAGAAACGTGGAAAGGAGGGGTGGCAGGCTGCGGGCTGCAGGGCTGGCGCCTTTGGACTCCAGTCTTCTGCGGAGTGCGTGGGCCAGGCTGGGGGAGACCAAGCCCACGGAGGGCCATCTACACACCAGCTGTGGCCCATCTCCTCAGGGCCAGCTCTACCTCGGGCCCACGGCGTCCCCCAGGACCGCCACGGCTTGGATGGCTTTAGACAACAGGAACTTATTGCCTCACAGTTCTGGAGGCCAGAGGTGCAAAGTCAAGGTGTGGGTGGTGCTGGGTCCCTCACTGGGAAGCACCTGCTTCACCTGTTCCAGCTGCTGGTGGAGGCCATCCACCCAGGGCAGTCCACCTTCTGTCTCAGCTCCGGCGTCACACGGACCCCTGTGTGTCTGTCTCCACCTGACACTTGATTACATCTGCAAAGACCCCCTTTCCAAGGAAGGTCCCATTCACATGCACCCAGGGTTAGGACTTGAACATATCTTTTTTTGGAAACAACTCAACCCAGGACAAAATCCCAATAGCTGAGGTTAAAAAAAGAAAACATTATAGCTCAAAATTGTTTATCAAATAAAACATGTAGAAATAACCAGATGGTACAGTAGGTGGAACTTCTATTTGTTGGACTGTTGTGCAGTCATTAAAAATGACTTTTCCCGTGGGAGGGGGCGGGTACCGGGGATTGAACTCAGGGTCACTCGACCACTGAGCCACATCCCCATCCCTGTTTTGTATTTTATTTAGAGACAGGTTCTCCCTGAGTTGCTTAGCACCTCGCTCTTGCTGAGGCTGGTTTGAACTCGTGATCCTCCTGCCTCAGCCTCCCGAGCCGCTGGGATTACAGAACTGCACCGCCACCCCTGGCTAAAAACAATTATTGAAGCCAGGTGCAGTGGAACACACCTGTAATCCCAGCAGCTTGGGGGACTGAGGCAGGAGGATCACAAGTTCAAAGTCAGCCTCAGAAACTTAATGAGGTCCTAAGCAACTCAGTAAGACCCTGGGGGTGGGGCTCAGTGGTCGAGTGCCCCTGAGTTCAATCCCCAGTACCAAAATAATAATAATAATAATAGTAATATGATTTATATGATATTTTATCATATTATTTTATAATGTTTGAATAGTATGTTTGTGTTCCACCTGAAATAAGAAAAAAATTTAAAAGGGAAATGAAGAAAATGTGCAAAAAGTGCGTTCAGGGCAGTAATGGCCAAACCACACTCGATATAATAATAATAATAATGAGAAACTGTGACAACATGACAGAAAGTTTCTAATGTTGAACAATACCTCTGGTGACAATTATATGAGAAGACATGTCCTCTCCCACCACGTCTGCCCCCCACCCCGCCTCCCTGCTCCGTCCCAGGGCCTGTGTTCCAGCCGTCCCTTCACCTGGGACGTGTCCACCCCAGAGAGCATGTGGCTCCCTCAGCTCCCTAGCCCCTCCCTGCGTTCGTTCTCTGAGGTCCGCCCTAACCCCTGGGGTAACCATGGCCCCTTAGATCACATCTATGCGCCTTATCTGAAGTGCTCTGCAGATGTCATCAGAGAGGCCTCTTGAGATGAAATCGTCCTGGATGGCCAGTGTCCTTACATAAAGAAGAGAGTACACACGGGGGGGGGGGGCATGGAGGCAGATGGGGGGGCCACAGGCCACGGATGGCAGGGTCCCTCCCTGAGGCCCCCAGAGATGCCAGCCCTGTTCACTTGGCTCCAGATGTGCCAGTCCACTCTGCTAAGAATGGCCAGTATGGGGAGCTTTGTTTCCGCAGCCCTGGGACACCCCAGGGCCCGAGCCTCTTCCCCTAGCCCTGTCCTCCCCCTGGGACTCTCACCTCTTACTCACCATGTTCAATGTCAGCTGTCTCCCCAGGAGAACCAAGGGCTGGCTGCAAGAGGGACCGGGGACATCACAGAGATGGGTAAATAGCTGTTAAATAAATAAACTTCCAAAAAAAATAAGACCCGACAATTCTTCCGCGCAAACTCTCCACCTTCCTCCTCAACCACCTTCATTTAACATCATCAAACTGAGCTTTGAAGAGGAGTTTCCAGCTTGTGCTCTTCCTGTATTTGTCACCAACGAGCCTTGGGGTGATGGTCCTGGTCACAGTTCCCTCCACGCTCCCTGTGCCTGGGAGGGTCCGTCCTCCATGGCAAGATGTCCCGGTGGCACTGCAGATGCCCACCTCCCTCCCTCCTTCCCTCCCAGGACCGTCATTCTGAAGGCTCTGGCGCAGCGTGACCCACCCACCCAGGCCCAGGGACTGCAGGGGGCTGACCCCACCAGCCCCACCGGGGGATTTCACAGCCACACACCTGAGAGGGGATGAAGCTGTCCATGAGTCACCACTGAGGGCCCCCAGCCTGCCCTCCGAGCACAGCCCTCCTGAACAGACTCTCAGAGAGCCCCTGCCCCTGTCCACCCTAGGGGCAAGCGGCTACCTCCCTGGAGGTCTGCCTACAGAAGGTAGGAGAGGCTTGGGGCTGGGTGTGACTAGTGACTCGCGTCCACCTCAGAACATGGGTGGGGGCCCAGGAGCTTCTTGAGGACTTCCCCTGTGAAGAAGAAGACCCAGCAAACCAAGGAGAATCCATGCCAATGCTGGACACGAATTGACCGAAAGCAGGCCACCCCGGCCTCTACCCCCCGCCAGCCGCCAGTCCACACCTCCGGTGGGTGCTGTTGAGAGCACCCTCCCAGCTCCGGGTGGGCAAGTGCAAGGCGCTGTTCCCCAGGCGACCTGGGGACTCTCTCTGCCCCAGGGTTTCAGCCCAGCCGGGGCCAGGAGGGCCTGCTGGGGACCCCCTTGCTTCCAGCTCACTGGCCAACTGGGTGGGGAAAGTTTCCTACATCATTTCCTGCACCCTCTCTGCACTGTGGAGAATTCTGGAAACTCTGCAGGGGACACAGCCTCCTGAGACCCCTATAGAAGGTGCACACGGCAGCCTCCTTGCAGCCTCCTTTCCAGGTGGGGAGGCTGCAGTGGCCGCGCTCTTCAACCCTGCCTGGAAGGCCGTCCCGATGCTGAAGGAAGGGTGCCCTGTCCCTCATGGGCAGAGCTCCCTGAGCAAAAGCCCGGCCTTGGCACTGTCACCATTCTTGTAGGTCAGGTTTTCAAGTGGGCATCTTGAAGTGGTTTCAACTTACTGAAGAGTTGTTCTTACTAAAGAAACCCCACCTGGTCCACCAGATTTCAAGAACTGTTAACACAGTTTAACAAGTTGTCATGTAATGTCGACATGCACATAGCACAGCCACTGAGAGCAGTATGTCCATCACGGTGACAGGCATCAACGTCCTTTCAGATCTTGTGTCTCTTTATCTTAATACTTCAGTAGGGATTTCATTTTGGGGGGAGGTGGTACCAGGAATTGAACTCAGGGGCACTTGACCACTGAGCCACACCCCCCAGCCCTATTTTGTGTTTTATTTAGAGACAGGGTCTCACTGAGTAGCTTAGCGCCTCACCATTGCTGAGGCTGGCTTTGAGCTGCTGGGACCGCACCCCGCTAGGTAGTAGTTTCTTAAAAACAGATAATCCCCTAAAGATCCATAATAAAGATATCAAATTCAGAAAATTCCACATGAATACAATACTTCCGTCCAATCGCTAGCCCCACTTTCATGGGTTATTCCCACGGGTGTCTGAGGATTTCCCTGTCAATACGGGTCCCCTCCAGGATGAGACGTAGCATTCACCTGTCATGTCTTTTTAGTGTCCCCTCCTTCCCTCTCACCCTTTCTTCTCCCCCCACACCAAGAATCAGACCCAGAGCTCGTGCATGCTAGGAAAGCTCGCGGCTACCGCCGAGCTGCATCCCAGCCCTCTCACTTTTTGTTTTGAGACAGGGTCTCAATGCATTGCTGAGGCTGGCCTAGGACTTGCAATCCTCCTGCCTCAGCCTCCTGAGTTGTTGGAATTTCAGGCGTGTGCCACCGCACCCTGCTCTTGTAGTCTCGTTTTGGTCTTCTTTAAAAATCGCTCCCAATGTCTCTTGTTGTCCATTATATTTGGCAGAGTATTGGCCCATTACTTTAGACTGCCAACCGATTCGAGTTTGACTGATGTTACCCAGTGGCTAGATTCAAGGTGAATTTCCCAGCTAAATACATCATGAGAAATGTTGTATCCTTCTTAGGAAATTATATCCAGAGGCATCAGGAGTCCATCTGCCTCTCGATTAGGATGTCAATTTGGACCATGGCCGAAACTCAGCAACCTCTCCTTCAAATAGTGGTCTATATTAACACCATGTGAATGTCTTCCTTCCCGTCACACACACCACACGGGATTTAACATCCACCCATGTCTTTTCTTAAACTAATATTCACCATGATGATGGCAATACGATAATCTCTGCTACTGAAACACTTCTACTCCTTTCACCTGTCAGAGGCCTCTCTTCTCCCCCATTTATTTATCACCAGCTTGGAGACAGCCCGGCTCTGAGGTCACTGCTTCCACTGTGCACCTTAAATGCCCTCAATATTTAAAGTAGCAGCTGGCACCAACTTCTGTGCTCTGTTACAGCTGCACTTGGATGGGAGAAATAGGTGCCTCTGCATTCACAGAAAGTTTTGCGAATAAAAAACAAACCAGGGGCTGGGGCTGGGGCTGGGGCTCAGCAGTAGAGGCCCACCTAGCACGTTCGAGGCGCTGGGTTCGATCCTCAGCACCACATAAAAACAAATATATAAAATAAAGGTATTGTGTTCATCTACAACTAAAAAAAAGTAAAAGTAAATAAATAAATCAGGTGATATTTTTAAAATATTATTTCATGCTACCTGTATGAAAGCAGAGAATATAAACTTGTAAGCCAAGTAACATTAATATCTTAACCTAAAGAAATGTTATTATGTATTCCTGAAACTAGACAAAAATGATTAGTGATTCACAGGGGAGGCGTATGAACTGTGTGGAAAGAATCTTCCAGAAGAGGAGGAAGCACAAGCCCAGGAGGTCGATGAGTGTGGGTGGAAATCCACCAGCTTTGGTTGTGCAGACCTCAGGGTACCTGGCCAACAGTCACAGAAGTGACAGAGGTGACTCTACTTTCAGAACACAGGACAGGCCACCCAGCCAGCAGAAGGGCGGTGAGGCTTGCCAAGCACAGATCACACACTGGCTCGAAGGCCGGCCCCTCGGTGATGGCAGGAGGTTCTCATGAAGGCAAAGCCTGTGGTCAGTGTCTGGCTTGCATTCTTAGAAATTTCGCCTCTTACAAATTGGAGCACAAGGGCTCCAAATTGGACCAGGGGCGGCACTGGTCCCCCTCCGCCGGTCAGACGTGGGGACTGTTCGACTCCAGGTCAGCGCCTAAGGTAGCAGCCCAAGGGAGGATCCTGACACTGCCCTCTCCTGACAAGCAGACACAGGGCTGGCCCAGCACGGCCTCCATTCAGGGCCTTTTAATGGTCTCTGCCCATCCCAGACGCTCCGACCCGAGTATTCTGCAAGCGTTAAGCTCACTTCCAACTTGCATTCTCTATACACATCACAGTTCATGTCAATCCAGAAATCATTTCCAAAACCTTACTTCACCTTTTCCTCTTCCAGAAAGATCACAGTGTGTGTGTGCGCGCAGGCGTGAGCACGTGCACCCAAAGGGGCTGGACACCTCTGCCCACCGAAGCTGCGTACGAATCTTTTTACAGCAGCCTTATTCATATTGGGTGGAAGTGTGGAAGCCACCAAGATGTCCTTTACAGGCCATGGGTGGACTGGGGGACGAGCAGATGAAGGACTGTTATCAGTGATAATAAGAAACGAGCTGTCCAGCCAGGAGAAGCCCAAGTGCCCACGGCCAGGGGCAGAGGCTGATCTGGAAGGGCTGCAGGAGTCCACCGTACAGTACGCTGGGCACAGCAGACTGTGGAGAGGGTAAAGAAAACAGTGAGTTGGGGAACAGTGGGCAGGGCGGGGAGGGTGGAGTGCAGAGAGGATTTTTAGGGTGATGCACACACTATGCAAATAGTGGGCGCCAGTGTCATACGTGTGTCAGAGCATAGAATGTTCAGACACAAAGGGTGAATCCTAAAGTCAACAGGCGCTTGGTACTAACCGTAGCCAATCCCGGTTTATCCAATCTAATGAAGGTACCACTCCTGCGAAAGGTGTCCCCAACCTGGGAGATAGAGGAAGTCCTGGCCAGAGACATGGAGGAGCTCTGGGCCTCCTAGTCAACATTTGTGTAAACCTAAAACTGCCAAAATTAGTAAATAAATAAAATCTATCAATTTGAATATATATATATATATATATATATATATATATATATATATATATATATATATATATCTCACAAAGTCACCGAGTCCACTCTGCAAATTACACAGGTTCATAGGATACTGGTCAATATGTTGAAGTTAAAGTGAACATGTCGGTGCCTACTGAATCCAGATCCCCTGGGGTGCAGGGCTGTGCCCTGAGGCTGGGTGCTCTGGGCTGGGATTGCTGGCATGGATCTAAGGAAGTCATTCATCTTTAGACACACACACAGGTCCAGCAAAAATATTTTGTAGTTCAAACAAGAGAGGACAAATTTCAAAGAAAAATTTTAATTGAGTGTTTGAGTTAAAACTCAACTCCAGTGCTCCTGACCATCCTAATGAATCCACAGTCTGAACACCGTGCACCTCTGCAGGGTCCCCCCCATCCCTTAAACAGAAGCACCTGAGTGTTAGCCTTTGTTCAGTTAAATTGAGGGATAACCCTTCAGTGGAACGAAGCACCATCTTTTCCAAACCACTTTTGGGTCAGTGAGTGAACGCTTGCCCAATTCATCCTTTGAAATTTAAGCTTTGCACACATCCCAAGAAAAATGAAGGCTATTTTCCCTGGGAACCCCATAGATCCTACTAAATGTTCTGCTTGAGCTCAAACCTAAACACAGAGCCCATTTGTAATCACTCATGTTCAATCGTAGGACTCAGTGGTGCCAAGTTGGTTCAGCTGAGACGGGTTCCCTGAGCTAAGAACAAACATCTCATTCAGGGATATTATGAGCCAATTATCAGGGTTAGTTGATGAAACTACTCCTGAGCAGAAAGACCACCTTTATAGGAAACCAACCTAGACAGTATCTTTGAAATAAAATAAAATTCAGGAATAGCAGACTTCTGTTGCAGAGTGCATTCAGCCTGATGGTTTATTTTTTTAATCGAGGCTATGTTGGAATTCTGGTCCAGGCACCATGAGGTACGTTCAGACGGCCACATAGTTTGGGGCACATTACAAAATAAAGACACAGTGCCCCCTCTTCAAAAATTCAGAAGTCCCTTCTAGGCAGCGAGGGCACGGCATTATGCCAAGGGCTGGCCCCTCTGAGCTCAGGGTCCTCAAGGACTGAGCGGGTGGAACGTCAAGGGAGCTGACCCCGAATTTGCCCTGGACCTTACCCCGTGCTTCGGCTTGCTGGTGCAGACGCTGACCAGCCACCGGTGCACCACAGCCCTGTTGGAGAACCCGGAGCGCGTCAAGGAATCTTCCACACCTTGGCCTCTTTGTGAATTAAGCTAGAGCCTCGACCTATGTTCACTACATAATAGCATGAGAATCGTGTGTTTTTGAAAATGACCCTTTTTATCAGTACTCAGCCCTTTTCTTTCCTCTCGAGTGTGAGGGGTCTCCCACCTCATCCTGCATCTGCACAGCCCACCATGCAGCGCTCAGTAAGCTCGGCAGCACCTGCTTCCTGGTGGTGATCCGCACACTCAGATACCATCCCCAGGTGAGCTCACCACACAAAACCCTTCCCAGAGAAGACCATGAGAACTCGTCCCTCCATCCAACGAGTCCCACTCTTGTTTCCATGCTCCCCCTCCTAAAAACCAAGCCAAAGAAACAAAACACAGATCAGTCGAGGTCCACTTTGCTGAGCCAGATAGGGAGGACTTTGGTCTTTGCTTCTCTGCATTTATCTTAGTTGTGTGGTCCTGAAGTCCGACATTCGTGAAAATTAAAAAGCCATTAGCCCCAGCCACAGGCTGCCCCAACTTGCAGTGGGGGCTATTCCCTGACTAGAAAAATGAAGGAGCTTTACCAGAAAGGATTTGAGTTGCTTTCCATCTGGAAAGCAGGTTATTATTTTAGTAAATTTTAAAAATAAAAATATTTAATGCTTGAATTGATAACATATCCATATGGTATCAAAACAATGTACATATAAGATCCTTCCCGCCCTGGCCAAGGTCATGGGACTCTGCTGTCTCTAGGTTTCCACCCTCGGTAATTGGTTCATATCTTCCAAGGTTATTATTTGAATACAGCAAATGTCCACTCCCACCACCAGCAGTGTTCACATAGGGGACTCTGCCATGAGCCCTGTCCCGCACCATCTTAGCTCAACACTACTTCTTGGAAATCTGTCTTCACTGGCACATCAAAACCAAACGCCTTCTTGGATTTATCCTTGTTAGTGTCCACTGTGTGGATGTCCCTCCCGTAATATCCCTGAGCAGTCTTCTCTTAGGGACAGTTAGGGTGCTTCCAACAATTTACAATGACAAAATTACCAAAGCCACTTTTCAAAGGCCGTATGTTCACTAGCTCCTGGCACAGCCCCGAGGAGACATGGAACCCACGACCAAACCACACAGCTCCACAGGCCCAGGAACAGGGCCCCTCCGTGGGGGCAGGGACCACACACAACAGGGAACTCACACTTCACTCTGGGGAAGTTTGGAGCCGAAGATTCTTCCCCTTCCACCTGAGTTCTTCCAGAAATTTTGCTGAGAATTTGCCTGTAATCTAAGGACACAGGACTCCTTTATGCCAGAGAATAAGGGTGAATGGATACCACAGATTAAAACGAGATTAAGTGGCCACAACAACTAAGGAGCCCACAGCACCCTTAAGTTTCCACTGTCTCTCTGTTGTTTTTTTTAACCCCTTTGTTACACTAAGAGATATAAACCTGCAAAGGATAACTAATTCCAGCATGAGAAATCACCAACGTCCGCCTGTCCTGTAGGCATGGATTCTGAGTAACAGCCGAGAGCAAGGAGGTGCCCACACCCCTTCCTGCAGTGAACGAGCCGGCACCAGCAAGAACTGGACAGACACAAGAACCCTGCAGGAAGATCTCGCCCAGAGCTCGGCCAGGATGCAGATCCTGGAGCAGATGTGGGCCCTTGGTCCAGCACTGAGGCTCCTGACCACCACGGCACACCTCAGAGAGGCCCTGCCCACTTCACAGTGTGCTTGGCCAGAAGGCTCCTGCGGTGGACGCTGTTCTCACCATAATGCGAAGACGGCGTCTGTCTCTCTTCCCCGGCCCTCTCGCTCGCTCTTCCAGAAACTCCCACAGGTACCACAACCGGAGGACCCAGCTGCCTTCCACGAAGCCAGTCACTAAAGAAGCTTGAAACAATGTAAAATAATGTTGCTCTTCTTATTAGACTATTTTGTCTTGAAAAATATAGGGTTTTTTAATTAAAACACGCTATTTATGTCAACATGCATGGGTTTATGACTGTTATTTTTAAAAGAATTAATTTTTTTTAATTTCTCAATTTTACTTTCTAATACGGTTTTTGAAGGAAAAAAAAAGCTGTCTAGTATAATTAACAAAAATCAAGGCTCTTTGGGGTCTCCAAAAATGTTTAAGATTGAAAAAGGGCCCTAAAGCTAAACAGCTTGGGAGCTGCTGGTGGTAGAGGAGAGAAGGCAAGCTGAGGAGCCCCTCAATGCACCTCGCTGGGTGGGTGTCCCCTGTGGAGAGGAAGCAGGGGCGGAGGGAGCAGGGACAGGCTCTCCCCACTGATTGTCACTAAGGAGCACAACGAAGGCAGATAGGAGGGAACTGCCCGGCAGGAAGTGGCTGACAATATCTGGGGTGAACTGCTTACCCACGAGGAAAAGGGCTGGGGATCTGTGCTGAAAGGGGGGGCATGCAGTAGGAGGATACTCAAGACCCACAGGGACTGTCCGCACATCTGTCACCTCTACCTGCCGCAAGGTGTTCCATGAAGAGCTCCCCCGCCCCCCGTGAGGACCAGGTGAGTGAGCGCATGCTCTCAGGCCAGCACCACAGCTGGGAACAGGGTGTGTCCGTGCCACCTGTGCCATTTGCTCTCTGCTCCTGCACCTGTCCCCACCCCCGCCCCACCACGCCTGCCTGAGGCTCCCCTGCCCCTCGCCCACCAGGGCTCAGCATCAGGAAGCTTCCTGGGTTTGACCCTGGGCTTTTCTCCCATTGCTGATGAGCTCCTCCTCCTGTCTTTGGGTTGCGGCTGGTTTCCTTCACTATTTCCCATGGAGACTCCTTCTCCCCTGGATTGGTTGCTGTTTCTCCCGTACCCTTCACTGGTCTAGTTCAGGACGCGTCTCCCTGCAACCTGACACCACCTCCAAATCCCGGTCCTCCTTACTTTGTCCCTGGGATCCTCGTGGGCAACGACCTTGTATCAATCTGTTCACTTGCACGATGTGCCCTTACATTTCTGTCACCTGTGCTTTCCCGTTTCTACAGGGCCAGAGACGCCCTCATCTTCCATGGTACGTGTGGTTTGCCTTTCACTTTAGGCTTCAGTCCAGCCGCAGTCGGTGGATAAGGAAGTCCCTTTAGGTCACAGGATGAACCGCGAGCAGGCAGTGCCCCAAGCCAGGCATTGTATCAGCAATCAGCAGTTCTAGTCACCAGAGGGTGGCTGTGCTGAGCCGCTACTTCTGGGGACCACTGTATAGGTGTGATGGTCAATTTTATATGTCCACTCGCCTAGGCCATGGGAAGAGCAAATATTCTCAATATGATTGTGAGGGTGTTTGGGGTTAAATTAACAATTGGATTGGCAGACTAAGTCAAATGACCTTCCCAAGTGGGGGCCTCGTCTAATCAGCTGAAGGCCTGAACTGAACTTTTAAGGCTGACCTCCCCTCTCAGCCCAGCTGGACCATCTGTCTTTTGCTGTCCTACCTACACTGCCCACTCCTCTTGCCGCCTACAGATGTTGGGACTTCTCGGCCTCCATTACCAGGTGAGCCAACTTCTTACAATAAATATCACATTATATATGATCCCTAGATAGAGAGATCATGCCTAGTATGCATTGTAAGTCTCAGCCATCACTGGTTCCGTTTCCCTAATACAGGAAGGTTATTCAAACTGTCAGTGGTTGGTCACCAAAGGGTCCTATAATGGAGCTCTTTGATCCAGAACAACTGGAAGAATTCCGCTGTCTCCCTCACAGGGACGAGCCCCACTGAGCACCACCGTTTGGGGGTCACTTGGTAGGTGGTTTCTAAGGAAACCAGCTGGTGGCTCCCATATGCTAACATGGGTGTCACAGACTGAAATGGGTCCTGCTCCCACGCTGCCGTCTGCAGGACCTGCTGGGAGCTCCTGTGGGCCTCGTGTCCTGTTGACGCCCGTGTTCTAATGTAAGCCCTGTCACGGGGCACACTCCAGGTGGGAAGCGCTGAGACTTGACTGGTGGAAGCATCGGACGCATCTCATCTCCGGGAACCTCCACGTGCCACTGGCCAGTCTCCCTCCAGCATCTGCTTCCCGGAGCCATTAAAGGCTCATACATCTTTCAAGCCCAGCATTACTCAAGGACAAAGGTGACAGCTCGATTTCTGAAATCCAGCTGAGGCCAAAGCAGATCCAAGGTCAGAAAGGCCCACAACCAAAGTTGTCACTAGCTGCTGGGTGGAGTGGCCCCTGCCAGGCCCAGGGGCAATGGACCAAGCCCTCAGCTCTGGGTGGGTGGAGGAGTCCTGCACCCTCTCCGTTCCTCCCAGTGTAGCTCAAGGTCCCAGAGCTGGGACACATGCTCCTGTACGCGCTGTGTCTGTCCCAATCTGTGTGGACCCCGCTGGAGAGTGGAGCTCATGTTTTCCATCTTATACCAAAACACGTTTGCATAGGGACACAGGTGCACACCTACACGTGTATACGGGACACATCCACCCACAAGGAGCCTGCACCTTGGCCCCGAGCACACACATGAATATATGCACACACATGAAAATCTGCATGGGCCAACACGTATGAGTGTGCATCTACAGGTGAGCACACGTGTGCACACCCTCCCCAAGAGACCCACCTACCCCAAAGTTGATCAAGGTCACAGACTGTGCTGGAGGTCAGCAGCCCGGGGAGCTGAGGAGAGCGCTGCAGACAGGGGGGGCTGTGCCTCCTGAAGCCACCCAGCACCCGTCCCCGCCACCCCCTCCCCGCCTTCTCTGCCTCCTCCTGCCTGGGACAAAGCAGGCCCTGCACTGGGCTGCCTGGACCCTCGCAGTGCTTGTTCTCTTTGGGAGGCTTTACGGCCCCAAGATGGCCTCAAGGTGTGCTGTGAGAATTCTGATGCCACTTGCTCCATCACTGACTTTGTAAAACCTCTTCCTAGAGTGAGAACCGGTGCCTCTCAAATGCCGTCTTGAGGCCCATATTCCCAAGATCCAAAATCAGAGATGGTCACAAGTCCCGAAAATTAGAATCCTGAATGTCGAGACCCTGAAAGCCGAAATCCCAAAACCCACCATCCAAAGACAGAGGCACCGCGTGGGAAGTGAGCGCGGACACTTCTCTGAGGAGAGCTCTGCCCCAAGAGAAGAAAGGCAGCCCTTCACTGCCCCTCAGGAGCTCAAACCAGCCGAGGACGAGGACGGAGAGACCCGGCAGCCAGGGCCACCTCCGCGCAGGCCCCGGTGCCCCCCCGAAGTGCACTTTGTCGGCGTTATATGTTTTTATGATTCTCTATGCTACGAATTTCGTTTTTGCACCAAGCCCAATACTAGAGGTAGAGGTCGCACAAAGACTCCAGGGGTTCTGACCCACTCGATGCCTTCTTTGACTCCTCAGAAGTGTATCAGCACAACCCTTGCTTTGTGCATAAGCATTGTGTGTGTGTGTGTGTGTGTGTAAAAATGTGGAAGCTTGGGCTGGGAATGTGGCTCAAGTGGTAGCGTGCTCGCCTAGCATGCGTGAGGCACTGGGTTCGATTCTCAGTATCACATAAAAATAAAATAAAGATATTGTGTCCACCTAAAAAAACTGAAAAATAAAAAAATTTTTAAAATGTGGAAGCTTCCTCCATGAACAAAGAGATGTCCTCTTTGTCCATGTGCTGTGTACCTGATCGTACTTCTCAAGTTCTCAGCTCAACAGATGACTCTCCGTGGCAGGGAGCCCTCTCGTGGTCTTCAAGCCATCTTGTCCGAAGTCCTAGGTGGTCCCTCACGTCATTCCAGACGATCCCACTTACCCAGCTGGTGCACATGATTGCCAGCCACAGAGACATACGTGTATTCAGTTCACTTTTGACCTACCTAGGTGTGAACATGGTTCATCTCCTCATTACTGTCGTACCTGTGTGAATGTCGTTGGTATACCTGAGTGCTCACACTTGCCAAAATGTGGTGGTACACACCTGAGTGCTCACACTTGCCAAAAATGTGGTGGTGCACACCTATAATCCCAGAGGCTGGGGAGGCTGAGGCAGGAGGATCATGAGTTCAAAGCCAGTTTCAACAACTTGGCAAAATTGCTAAGCCACTCAGCAAGACCCTGACTCTAAATAAAATATAAAAAGGGCTGGGATGTGGCTCAGTGGTTAAGCACCCCTGGGTTTAATCCCCAGTACCAAAATTTGTTTTAAATTATATGTTATTATTGCCTATGACCTATGAAATATTGTCATGTTTTTATCTGTTTCTCAAATGAATCTCCTTTTTTAAAATGTGAAATATATTTTAAAGAATTTCTAAAATATTTTCCAGAGTTACATTTGACCTTTCAGGTTTCAACACTAGGAACTGTGGTGAGCACAGCATGTCTTTCTGTATCATAACCCAAACCTAGAAGGATCCATAGTTTCTAGAAACTCCTCCCCTGGGCTGGCCTTCCAAGGTGGGATTCTGAGTGAGACTCTGTCCCTTTCCACAGAACGCTGGGTGCCTCTCAGGTGCTTCGCCCTTGTTTACTCAGGACCAGGAACAACGGCAGGATTCCAGACCTGGCGTTAGGCCAGGCTGCTTGCCACCTTCCCAGGGGACGGGAAATTCGCACAGGTGACTGGTTCCTGTTTTCAATCCCGGCGCCCCTTCCTCCTGACCACCTCCTCCCGTCAGTTTCACTGGCCTGGAGTTGATCAGCCGGGAACAGGAGGTGGGGAGCCTGGGGACACCAACGTCACCTGGCAAACCTGGAATCCTCCCAGGCCAGTGGTTCAAGATGCGGACAACAGTCACAGCCTCCCCCGCAGCAACGAGGAGCTTGTGATTCTAAGCCCTGGACCAAGACTCCAGGACTGAAGGAGGACCACAAGACCCAGAGCACAGGGGTGTCCCCCTGCGAAGGGAGAGGAAGGAGGCTTGGCGTGAGGTCGGAGGTTCGCAGGGGGTGATCAAAAGCCAGCCTGCAGAGCAAAAGGGTGGTCGAAACTCTCCGCTTCCCATTTGCTCCCTTCGGAATCCAAACTCAAAATCACAAAGCCACCTCGGGCATCTTCCCACTTGGTCATCTTCTGTGCAGTTAACCCTGAGGACAGTGAACCACGGTGCCTCCTGTGGACTCGTAGCTAGCAGGGACTCTTCCAGGCACACAGAAACCCAGGCTCAACAGGACGCCGCACCCAACAGCTCTGGGCATGTGCCGTGACAGCTGTCCCCAGCACCGGCGGCAGCCTCCAGACTTATCAAGAGGTCGAGCTTGGAGAAGTCCTTGCACACACCCTCCCGCACACTCAGGAGCCAGGCCGCCTGTGTGTGCAAGTCTCCGAGCTCTTGGAACCTCCACAGAAGCTCACGATTCATGTTGGCGTCCCCTGACTGGCAAGCAGCTGCTCGCCACACCCAGGCCAACACCGCAGCCCCCCGCCCCCAGTGTCTCCCTCCGGCAGAGCTGCAAGGAGGGAGCTGCCAGGAGGTGGCCTCCGTCTCTGAGCCGCAGCTCCTCAGCTCCTTGCTGGGAAGTCTACACAGTAGCTACCCACTTCCACCACACTCAGAGGAGTACGAACCGGTTATTTCCCAAGAAGATTCTTGACAGTGTCTTGAAATAAAAAGAATAAGTACAGAAGTACATGTGGAACTTGGGGAAGGCTCCCCTTTCCCCTGTTCAATTCCAGTGAAACATACCTTCCAAGTGATGACCAGATTTCATTGTTTCAAAACTCAGAGAGGCACGAATTGGCCTTGAGGAAAGAAGCCCGGTCTAGGGTCCAGGCTGGAGCTGAACAAGCCCCACGGACTGTCTACTTAGGGCCCAAGGATACCAAACCCTACTAGAGAGTCGACCACAAGGTCGATTGATCCTCTGTGACTTCTCAAGCTCAGAAACATGAAGTGACTTGGTCAAAGTCACTCAGTGCAAAAACCAGAATTTCAGTGTGATTTTGTCTGATCCAAAACTATCGGTCTGTATTCGTCTGTTTCAGATGCTAAAACAAAATCTCACAGACCAGGTGACTTAAACAAAGGAATTTATTTTCTCACATTCTGGAAGTGGAAGTCCAGGATCGGGTGCCTGCCGGGGGGAAGTGTTTATAGCCAGCTGGTTTCCCCTGACTTATAGACAATACCTCCTTACTGTGCCTTCACTAGGTCTTTCCTGGGGACTACAGGAAAGAGAAAGAACTCTGCAGTCGCTTCTTTTTTTTTCTTTTTCTTCCTGTGGTGCTGGGGGTTAAACCCAAGGCCTTACACATGCTAGGCAAGTGCTCGATCACTAAGCCACACCCCAGCCCTCTTCTTTTATAAATAAATTCTATTGTGCTTATTTAATTTACCACATATAGAAAGTAAAAGGTTTCCCGTGACGCAGCCAATCTGCATAGCCATTATCCCATACACTTACCCATTTTTCGTTTTGTTTTTGTGGCAAGAGCAGTTACGACCCACTCACCTAGCCCAATACCAGGTTCAGGATGATTTTGTCCCCTCAAGTCCTGTGTGTGCATGAGCTCTTCAGGCCTGTCCACACTACATTCCTGCTGCTTTGTGTCCTCGGGCTCCATCCCCCCATTTCCTCCTCCGACCCCACCCCTCAGCCCTGATAACTACTGTTTTGTTTTCTATCTCTATATATTTGGATTCTTTAAATTTTCCACATAGAAGTGAGCTCATGCATATTTTTCTTCCCGGGTCTAGCTTATTTTACTCAGCATAGAGTCCTCCAGGTTCACCCATGTGTGGCAAGTGGCAAGATCTTGTTCTTTTTTAAGACTAAGTAATATTCCACTGGTGTATAGCCCCTGTGGTTCCTATATCCATTTGTTCATCAGTGGATATTTAGGTCATTTCCTTATCTTGGCATCACAAACAGAATCCACACTGGCATCTTTATACAGGATGATAATCTTCATGGATTAGGGCTCTACGTGTATGCTCTCATTTAACCTTAATTACCTCTTAGAGGGCCCATCTCCACACTGGCACTTGGGGCTTTAACCACAGAATTTGGGGGACACAAACATTTAGTCCAAAACAAGATCTTTGTTCAACATCATGCTACCTCTCTGCATCAATATGTTAATTAGAAAAAATAATGTGAAATTTTCAGATATCTTCAGTCACGACATCCTAAACGTCCTGAACTTTTTGTTTTGTCTTTCTCTCTTATTTATGAAAGAGAGATAGTAGAAGCAGTTAAGAAGCAAGAACGTGAGTTAGCAAGATCAAGCCACTGCTTTGCCTGACTTCTGTGAATTCTTTTACAACTGCCGCTAACCCTCTCCTGGTGTAGATACTCCAGTGTTTCCTCCCAGTCCAACGCTTTGTCTAGCGTTTCTTTCCTTGGATATAAGTTCCTCAGTTTGGTGTGACCAGTAAAACAGCACCAGGGCGGACACATGTGGAGAGACGACTTGGGGTCAGCGTCAGCAGGGAGCATCCACCCCACGTGTGCCTGGCTCAGCTCTCTCCCCAGAGAAGGCTGAGCCAGCAAATCAAGGGAAGGCAAGACTCGCTCCCAGCAGGGAAAGACATCATCTTTTTCTAATATTTTGATTTCCTTGCAGAGCAGAAATCATTTTTTCTCAGTGCATCCTGCTCACAGGAACCTCTCACTGCAGGAGGGGCTTTAAATATGCAGGTGGGATTCCGCACAGCCAAGGGCTTTCCTTACCAGGCCCAGAAGAGTTCACTGAAAAGCCTGACTCTTACCCACCGTGCAGGGGAGCCCGGGAGCAGCCGCCACGGACGGCTCATTCTCCTTCCAAGGCAGACCAGAGCTGTCAAGGCAGACGGGACAGACTGCCCCGAGGCTCGCAGGCATCAGAGGAGGCAGGTGAACAAGGTACTGAAGCGCAGCAGGCTTTTCCCTGGAGGATCACCAGGGGCCAGGGAACATGTGAACCGGAGACCAAGGGACACTTTCAGAGAGAAGGAAAATCTGAACTGAGCTTGGGGAAATGAAGAATGGCGAAGGCGAGGCGTGTTACAACCTCTGGCCTTGGAACAGAGGTCCGGGTCCAGCTTCCAGCCCTTTCCAACAGCAGGACCTTATGAACGGGGACCAGCACCACGAGGACCGGGGGCTCAGATCAGCCCCTGGCACCTGGCCGCCTGCTGGGAACAAGGATGTGGGTCTGGGGAGAGAATGGGCTCTCGAGGGTCATCAAGCATCCTGGACTTGGGATGGAGAGATTTTTTCCCAGCTGCAGGCCCAGAGCAGGGTGGAGGGTAGCCACTGAGAGCCACCAGGGTGGGTAGCCTGAAAGGGAGAACCGAGCTCCCTCCAGGTGCAGTAGGGAGCACCTTCCACTTCTTTTTTTTAACCTTGCGGCTGTAGCTCAGTGGTAGAGCGCTTGCCTAGCATGCAGTGAGGCACTGGGTTCGAGTCTCAGCACCACATATAAATGACTAAAATAAGGTCCACTGAAAACTAAAAAAATATTTTTTAAAAAAAGACTTTGTTTCAATTTTTGCAACTTCTTAAATTTGTAGTAAAAGATGCATATCATGGTATCTGCCATCTTGACCATCCGTTAATCTTTCTGGTGGGGGTCCTGGAGGTTGAATCCAGGACTGGTCCTGCAGAGCCCGAGCTCCGCCACAGCCCCGCCCCCCGGCTCCCAGGTA